CCAAAGAGAGATATTCTTTCCACTTTGGATGGCAGGAGCATTAAAAAAAAAAAAAAAAAAAGTATCAAATGAAACTTTTCATTATACTCAAGGTGCTTTCATTCCAGTGTTAAGAACATTCACATACTTTTGGACATGACAGCAGTACATGATTTTAAGTTGGTGCTTCTCTGTATATTTATAGCAGTGAAGCATATTAGTGTAGAAGCACTGTATGTCCATGTACATTGCTCCTATGTATCTGGTGCTCAAATTTAAATTTATTCTAATGACATTTATATTCCCTGCTAAAGGCATCAGGGGCCTTTTCATGCAACCTCCTGGATCACTCCATTAGTGTTGATAATCTCAGTCCTTAGTGCTCAGCTTCTTATTTACAGTTCTGCATCATACCCTCCCAGACATCTCCTCAGCCATGAAAATTGAATACACAAATTTACTGTCATTTCCAGGGAACTCTCTCTGTATCATGTTAGTTGCTTCCAGATAGTTCAAGAATTCACCTATCTTCCTCTCGCTGTCATACCTGCAAATGCTCAAATTCGTCACATTCCAAAACCAGCCTATTCCTAAATTAAAATGCTTAGATTTCTCAGAAGGATTAAGTAGAAAACTTTTCAGGTTTTGGTACAAGAAAGCAAAAAAAAAAAAAAACAACACAAAAACCCAAAACCTCCCACAATCAAAAAACAAAAACCCAAACAAAAAACATTGCCCACTGTTCTAATGCAACAGGTTGCAAAATTATTTTAATCATTAGAGCTAAAAAATGCTGGCACTTACCCTGACACACTCCCTGTATCTTGTACAAAGCAAGTACTAAAATATGATGAAACATTAATGCCTTCTGCCAAGAGTGAAAACAAAACTGTTACAAGAACAGTAGTTTTCCACTCTTGATGTGGGTCAATAGACCAGGCAAGCACTCGACCTCAAATGTGATAGACCTTCGCCAACAATTCATATAAAAAGTAAAACAGCCATTTCCAAGCTATAATCCAGCCCTCATTACCAAGCCATAATTCAGCCCTGTGAAGTAACAAAATAGGCAGCACTCTGGGGGAGTGAGCAGAATTGCAATTTTCTCTGTTAGTTGTTAAATTTTATGCAAAGGTTTTCATATTATGAAGCATGCTACCACATAGTGCGTGCTGGACTAACCCAGGTGAGCTTCAAAAATTAAGTTCCTAAGCTCTTTAGAGTTAAATCAACTCCAGACTTCACAATTAATAACCAACTGTGAAGGAGAAAAGCAAAACTGCTTTTCTAAAATCCTGCTTAAATTCATTTCAATACTGTAGTAGACTACAGTAGGAAGGATAAAACACTTTCGGGAGCAACCAAAAGCAAAAAAAAACTGGTAACTAAATACATACAAACAGGCCAGGAATTACCTTAGGATATTTTTAATAAGACTTACTCCCCACCCCCACCCCCCCCTTTTAAAATTCATTCTCTAGTAGCATGTTTATAGTGCACTGGAACTCACAGTCTGCAGTAAAAGACCACATTCACCTAGATGTGACCATATCAAAATACTCTGTGTCCTGCTGTTGTGCAGTGAACCCCCATGCCACAGAATAATCCTTCAGAACTAGTCCTTTTGTTTTTACAGTACTTTCTTACCCTCACAGCACTGCTGGCACATTTTCTAAAGCTAATCAATATCTCCCTGAAATAAGAGCGGCCAAAAGCAAGAACTGACCACTACAATCAATAAGGTTAAGTTTGACCTTTTCAATACCCCCCATTGTTTACTTTTTAATTTGCCATACATTTTATTAGAAATTTTATGAACATACTTGTACTACTATTCAAGTGATCTTTCCTACCTCCCCTACTGCTGTTACTAGCTCAGTAGCAAAGGTTAGGTCTCTAGAAAACTAGTCTACTTCCAGGTTTTACGTTGGAAATGAGGAGAAACACAGTCCTTGACTGATAACTACTGGTAGGAATCACTTCTATAGCTACAGTTACAGCAGGAAAACAAAACAAAACAAATAATCAAGAAAAACCAACCAAAGGAAACAAATCACACAGCTCTTTTTCTACCCACAGCACAACCCACTGTCAGTGGTGATAATTAAATGCACTAATTCTATTTCACCTCAAGGACTTTGCAGTTTTAATACAACTCACTCATATAAAAAACAAACCTCCTGCCAGAGGTATGTGTAGTCCCAAATATATTGTAACTTGCATGTACTGCCACTTTCTTATCCTTCTCTTCAGCATACAACATACTTACTATCCCTCACATTTACTAATATAAATAGGAGTATTCTAATGAATTTATATTGTTGGAGAAATTCTGAATTCAAGAAATATGCTTGGTTTTCAGTTTTTCCAGATGTATGTTAGCCACAAAAATTTCTCACCCACTTACCAGTTATCATAGAGAAGCTAGCCACAACCAATAGTAATATTTTTTTTTAATGAGAACAAAAGATGGCTTGGTTATTAATCAACAGAAAATAAATGCCCTCCAACCCTTCAGAAATAAGAAGACAGACTCGAGTCATCTCATGATAATTGACTTAATAGCTACAATAAGTATATAGAAACAAAACTGTTAATTTGGCAACCAGACAACTTTCATCTGAAGCTGGGTGACAGCTAAATACGATTTGTGTTTTAAGGACGCTCTCTCAAATAAAACTGTACATTTTGTAAACAGTACTACAGGAGCAATATTTTTATAGCTTAAACCCAGTAATCATCCAAAATAGTTTAATGTTATCCCTGAGTGGTAAAGAGTAAAGAATGGATTAGGTTTTTAATTAGTTAGCAGAATACTACTGCTCCCAGCTGTTCATAGGAAAGCTCTATGATCCAGAAGTGGAGGGTAGGCAGACTGTGACAATTCCCAAAATATTTCTCCACTGTAACAAGTCTAAATCGCTCCATCATACCGAACACTGCTCATTCCTCAGAAAATTAAGAATTTAAGGTCAACTTTACAGGCCAGTTATTGTCATCAATAAGCAGACCCAAGCTGAGGGTCAACAACATCCCCCCTTCCAATATTTTTCCTCTCTGTTTGCTTCACTATTAAATGGCTGATCTATTCAGGAGAAAGTAGGTGAAGGGGGAAAAAAGGAAGAAAAAAAGTGAAAGTAATCCCTCTACTCTGATACTTCTTTCATGCATGCTCTTTGAACTGGTGCTTCATTAAGAGTAGATCCAGTACTCCTGTTAACAAAAATACAGCATGCAGACTTGCATCTCATTTCTTGAAGTCCCTTTTCCCCCTTGCTTCCTTCCCCACCCTGCATTCTTTTTGTTAGGCAAGGGAAAGAGAAGCATTTTAAAGAAGCTGAAGAAATTCACATATCCCAACATTTACTCCACATATAAAACTTATGGTTTTCCTATAGGTGCCAACTATATTTCTATTTCATCATAATGCAGCCCTGAAAATGCCAGAAAACTTCTCTAATCACCTAAGATGCCCAACCAAGTCTTTATACTCAACATGTTACCATGCATCACTTTTAAAACACAAAGTATCATTGATAAAGAGAGACCCAAGCAATTTATTCCACTAGCGTATGCATATTATTTCAACCTAGGATACTGCAGGCAGTGTTTTTCTTGGCAGCTGTAGCAGGGCTGGTGTTTCAAAGCTCTGAAGCCAAAGCTCAAAATTTTAGCCACTGAAGAAGTTAAAAAACTCCTTCAATGAAAAATCTGTGTCTCACTATTATTACAAAGCTGAATGCAGAAAATATTTATTAAACATTGTAAATGACAATTCACAGGGTCAGTAAGGTCTAAAGATATTCTAAACTTACCTACATGCCATCACTGGAAGGGTAAGGTAACAGAGTCAGATCCAGCTGCAAAGCTTGCCACCCAACACGGAGGCTCACACCAACATCTATCCAGTGAAAAGTCCTCCCATCTCCAAGCAATCGACAAAGCTAACCCTTCAAACAAGTATATCTCTTAATGCAAAATATACTGCTTATCAATATCCACTACTTTCAAAGTAAGTGCCTCTGTCTTAGCTGACAAGTTGAATGCTAGCTCTGAGCTTGGCATGATGTATTAAAAAGTCAAATTATCTCATTACAAAAGTTTTTAATGAAAACACAGATGAATACAAATGAGAATACCTCTGCAGGGAACCCCAATGACAAATCGAGTCTTTGTCACCAAATGAATGACACATTTGATTAAAGAATTTTCCCCAAGCAAAAATAATTTTACCCACATACCAGTCACGTTTTCTCAAATGCAAGCAATTTCCTTTAATCCTTAAAAGCCTGCATGCAATGCATAGTTATTACATGGAGCTATAAGGAGCTACACTTCCAAACAAGACTGGATTAAGATTTATCCATACTGAAAATCATCTTTCTCCATTGGCTGTCCTATGGATTTTTAGGGAATAAGACATCTGATCCAATTATTCTACATAGAAGAGGGTCTGAAAAAACAAACAGCTTAACGAAAGCCCCAGGAAGAATACTACTCAGAGTGTGCATTTCATATATACGCTACGCCACGGGATGAGTCCAAGGAAAGCAAATACATGATTCTGATGAGACAGCTACCACAGACTATAAAAGTTGGCAAGAAACAGGTGTTAAATTCGTAACGGAAGCAGTGACAGCAAGTGTGAAGGGAGAAGACACAGCTACAGTTCCTGACACAGTGCCTTTCTCCACCTGGTACCCTGCTGGAAATGATGACATTTTCACAAGAGCAGCCGGGTTGCTCCCAGTACGTTTATCAGCATCACGCCCCGCAAATACTGTTCAGCATGGTTACATGCATGGGCTTTAAGAGAAACAAAAGACTGGGAATACAGAGCAATAAATCATATATGACATATTTCAAAATAACATATTTTAAGCAGGGGCAATTCGTAAAAACAACAATGGCTTGTGGCTCTGTTAATCAGCTCTCCCTTTCAAAGTAAGGCATTTGGCAATGCCTCACTCTTCGGGCTAGTGTTACGGTATGCGGGTGTGATACGGAGCTTTGTACGCTACCTCTCCGTGTAGCTTCCAGAGTATGTGTGCACACACATTTATCTATATTCCCGCAGCACGCTGGTCCCCAGGGATACCTCAGGGCTTCAGAAGCTCCCCGCAGCTGTGCAGCAACGCCAAAGGCACCAAGCTGAAGGGAGGCAGAAAAGGTCCGGGTCTTTCCCGGGGCCCCACCGTCGGTCCCGGCAGCCCCGCACGGCGGGCGGGGGAGCAGCCTGACAGGGACTCCGGGCGGCCAGAGCCGCCTGACGCAGCGACTGCCCCGCTGGGGTCGGGGGAACCTGACCACGGCTTCTCCTCAGACAGCCCCGCAACCTGGAGAAGAGCCCCCTGCGGAATACCCCCACCCCACCATAACAGCCCCTCCTCCACCTCGCCCGCACCAGGTCGGGCACCGCTCTCCGTACCAGACACCCGTCCGAAGCACCATGCTACAGCGGCCGGCTCCGCACCCTTCCCTGCCCCACTAGGGGGAGAGACCCGGCGGTGGCGACCGCAGCCGGCCCGGCCCAGCCCAGTCCTCGTCCGTCACCCCGAGCTCACCGCCCGCCGGGCTCCCGCCTCAGGCCGCCGACGTCGCCCTACACAACTCGCTCCCACCGCCCTCTCTCGCCAGCGGTGAGCCGCAGCTCCAGCGGCACAATATGGCGAGCGGCAGCCTCCGCAATGGAGCTCGGGAAATAGAGGGGAGTTACATATTCATGCCGGGGCTGGGCAGGGGGAGCGCGGATGGAGCTGCCGTGACCGGGCCTCCCAGCTCCCTCCCTCTCTCCCTCCTTCCCTCTCTGCCGGGGTACGGCGCTGGAGGGGGACTACTGTCTTCTCTCCCCGCCTTCCTCGCACCTCTGCTGCGGTTGCCCGGGCCCCGGCTCCCCGCCGCCTGTCAGCGCCAGCGCCGCGCTCCTGCTCCCCTCATCGCACTTCTGGTCTCGAGCGCTGGGCGATGCGGCACCGAGCCCGGCGGGACTCCACAAGGCCACCCTTACTTCCCCCAGCCAGCGGCCGTCGCTCTCCCGCGTCATGGCTTCTCTCCATTAACAGCCTACAGCAGGGCTAAGCTCTCAAGCCAGCAGTGGCCCCCATCTCCGAGCCGGCGCCACGGCCCTGGAGCGGCGCCAGCTGAAGCGGTGCTGGTTTGCGAGAGGGAGTCAGGGAGCCGCGTTCCTTGAGGCCGATCGGTGCGATCTCGTGTTTTGCACTCAGCGCCTCGGGGCTGAGCCTTCCGCAGCCTGGGTGCCTGTCAACTGGGAACGGGATTTAAGTCCCTTTTTGTTCTTGATTAGGCTTTTTTTTAAGAATTATTTTTCTTAAGTGAATTATGTTGACCTCTTTAAATGTTAAAGTATAAGGACGGTACAGAACAGAAAAAGAGGTTGTGATAAATTCCTTTCTTTAGAAGGACACTAGTCAGAATTAATGACTGAAATTTTCCTGATGTTTCAGCTCTCCATCAGTGCTGAGAAAAGGAAGATGTCATCTGCCAAGCTATTGCTGTACCAGAAAGTGTCCTTTGGTGAAAATTACTTCACTTGTTAATTGTTTGCAGGACTGTGGTGAATGAAGAAGTTCTTATGTTAATATACCACTCTTAGTAAATTTTTTTTTGAGATTAGGTCACTGTATGTTGCAAAAATAAGATTTGTAAAATTAAAGCATGCAGTTTTAAGGAAGCCAGATTTCCAAAGGCAGATGGAGTGCAAGGTGAGTTGCAAGCATCTGGTAAAATGCAAAACTATACAGTGTCATGTAAATTAACAAACTGTAAACATTTTTAAGAACATTTGCTGAAAGGGAGACAAAAGGAAATTCAACATAGTTAAGTTGTGCTAGGGGTGTCCAACTCATATTTATAAGAACTTTTGTTTATTTTGGTTATATTTCCTATATTCACCATTTAATAGCAGCACCATGGATCTTCTCTGCAATGTGGTGTTCATGCTACTTTTAAGGGTGTAAAAAAAGCCACCAAATACTTTCTCAGGTGGAAGCTGTCAGTCTGCCAAGATATCAATATGAAGAAAGTTTCCTGTTCAGGGGAAAAATGTGGTGCAGATGCACATTTCTTTTCCATACCAGGTACCTCCCTTGTTGCAGGAGTTAGGACACTACTGCCTCTGTCATGAAGGCCCTGGGACCAGCATCCTGGGTGGCACAAACAGGGGAATGGCCAGGAGATCAAGAGAGAGATTAGTCCGTTTTGCTCAGCACTTGTTAGATCACATCCAGATACTGCGTCTGGGTGGTTGGGGATGAAACATTTGACCTGACAGGAGAGGCTGGCCATGGGAGTGGGGCTTGGTTAGCCTGGGGTAGGGAAGACTTTCAGGCACCTTACACCATCCAACTCCATCCTGTGAGGTTATTGAGAATATGAAGCCAGGCTTTTTTCAGTGTTGCAAGGGAGTAAGGTGAGAGGTGACAGCAAACTGAAACAAGAAAGAGTTTGACTGAATGCAGGGAAAACCTATTCCCCAAGAGAACACTCAGACAGAGTGCAGTTTGCCCAGCGAGATTGTGCCATCATAACTCTTGGAAGTTTTCAAGACCCAATTGGTTCAAGCTCTGAGGAACCAGGTCTGACCCCAGAACTGCCCTGCTTTGAGTGGGAGGATGGACAGACACCTCCTGTGGTCACCTCCAGACCAGGTTATCCCATCAGTATGTGATTCTGCACTCAGAGTGCAGACAAGAAAGGATATGGATAATACTGTATTTCAAACCTTTTCTTTGTGAGCACTTTTGTTCTTTGCAGCTTTCCCTGCAGCAGATAGAAAAAACCATGCAGCATGATAGCTGAAAAAGCTTTCATCAGCTCAGGGTTTCCACTGTTACTGATGTAATGGAAACATTTCTTCGGCTTTTTGCAGCAGCAAAATAACAGTAAAGAAAATTACTTGTAACTGAGACATGCTGTTTCCATGTTCTCCTTCTAGGTAAAATATTTATTACCTGTTAAAGTTATTGAAGGTCACCCATTCACTGCCTTATAGAAACCAGTATTTAGAGAGAAGAAAAAGGGGAAAAAGTCCCCAACCAAACCAAACCAAAACAAAAAAGCCAACAAAAAAAAAAAAACCAAACAAACAGAAAAGCACATAATTTTTTAAGTCTGGAGGGAGGGAGCTGTAAATAATATACAAAAGGTGGAAAATGTAGAAGGAAATGTCCCTGTTGGTGTGTTACTCCACTGTGGTACATTACAGTAAAGAAAGATGAGTGTATAAATAGCTGGCAAGGGAAAAATAAATAGGCAGTGAATTGGAAAGATGAGGTAAGGTGGTGATGTTCCAGGTAGGTTGAGAAACTTGTCTGACCCAGTGTTAGTAAAATATTAAATCGTTTCTCCCATGTTAGCTGTCCTTGTCAAACAGAGCAAGGGAGATTTTGGAGGCATTTACCCTTTGTGCAGACCACAAAGCATATACAAAGCAGCCTTCCTTAGGATCAAATCGGATACAAGCAAGGCAGGAAGAAAGGGCACTAAGGCTGTTCTTCTGAACCAACTTTGGCTCAGAATTGATGGGTTTGTTACAATTTAAGATTTTGATTCGTTAAAAATAAAGCAGAGGCAAGCAAGCTGTGTGATCTTTAGTGAAAATTGTTCAATATTATGAATGGAAAATTAAACAAGATTGCTCAGCAAAAATTGTATTGTGGCAAATCACATTCTTGAGGAAGTTCAGAACACAAGAAAACCCTCTGTATACTTGCATGTGATGTTTGTGTTTATTCCAGCTTTAAAACTAAACTATCTTAACAAGAAACTTTTGCTTGACAGTGTTATCTTGAATTGAGAGGCATCATTGGCATAGGTAGATGGACTGATGTGACATGGCTGCAGTGGGGCTGTAACTGCAATGTACCTCTTCCTCTTTCTAGAGCTATAAAACTCTGGTGAATATGTCCAGTGGAAATCCAGAGGAAAAACCTTTTTCTATATGATAAGAAAGCTGCAAAAAAGGTAAAGGCAGGAATTACCTTTTTATCGAGTGACAGTTCACTTTCATGAAGGCATTGTGTTTGAAGTAGGATTCTCTGGCTGTAGCTGGATTTCCTAGACCCTAAGTAATCAGTGATAGAGGGTACCTTTCTTGCAAAGGCAGAAGTTAGGTCACATTATGCAACCTTCAAATGGGCATCTTGAAGTTAAGGGTAAGGAGTTACTTTGGATGTACTTGCTAACTATGTAGTAGATTATGCTCAGCTCAGGCTTATCATCTATTTCAATAGTGAATCACACATTCTGGATGCTTGTTTATATATACAATGAAAACAATTCAATCTGTCAGAAACATCAGCTCCGCTATAATCTGTATTAATTTCCTGGACTGATAGGTAAGGTAAATATATTTGCAGAATTTTGAAAAGACTGTGGCTTTATTTTGAGACTTGTAGACAAAAATAAGTGCGAAGGAGAAAGCCATGGCATATTTACTACTCACAGCCGTAACATGAATAAATGAGAATTGTTGCAGGATCCATGTTACTCAAGGATCAAAGCGCACAGATGAGGGATTCTATTAGCTTTATTCCTTTGGAAAAAAGTTGTGCATGAGACACTACAGGGTCTTCAGTATTCAGGCCTCACCGTTATTAAGTTCTTGCTTTCAAAAGGGTCACTGAAGGCCAATATTGGACAATCAGTGTTGACCCAAGAGGGAAAGATATTGCTAAAACCAGCAGTTTGTGAGTCCTAAATGAGCTAGGAGTGGCAGAGATGGGAGCAGAGAATAACATAGTGGATCTTGTTTAGGAAGTGACAAAGACTTGTTTTCCCCTCCAATGTTCATGTATCTGACCTAATATAGCCTTAATAAACTTATGACTACAATGCACTTCCTAAGCCATGTGCAGATTAGCAAGATTTTTAGAAAGCAGGGGCATAATATCTTTCACCAGCTTTGATGGGAACAGTATTAGGTCACATTCTCCAATGCAGATTGCTTACGAGGCAGCAAAGATGAGAGACAGTGTAGGAAAAAAAGTGTCTATCTCAACTCTTAACTGGCAATATAGTCTGATAGCTTTGGTAGTTGTATGGGCATGAAGCAGTTGAGCGTAGGTGCAAGCCAAAGAATCACACAGCCAGAACTGGTGAAAAACAGTAGTACAGTGGTATCAGTAACTGGTGGTAATTCAGAATTATTTAGTATTTTCCAGCAATTTTTTCATAAAACCATTGAACTGCATGGTTCTGAAAGTAATTATATCCGTAAAATTAAAACAGAGGTCAAAACTAGGTGAGAACTTCAGGAGTAACTGCAAGATAATTTTATCTGCTTCATAAAATGAAGTTTCAGGCAGTGATCAAAGGGTTTTGCCCATTTAAAAAATGAAAGACAAATCAAAATATTACATCCCCCAAATTAAAGAAATGGCCATACAAATAAAAAAGTTAGTATATGAAATTCAGATTCTTAAGAGTTTCAAAAGACAAAACTCCAAACTCACTTAGACTGAAAAAAACTGTATTTACAAAATCTATAGCCTTAGGGCTTGTGCTCAAAAACAGTGGTTTCAGAATACTCATACTTTGAGTAGAGGTACTTAGAACAGAACTAGGGACATGAAAAAATAATTTTTATAACTTTTTAATTTGTGATTCAGCAAACATGTTTGCAACATCCTATCCTCTACAGTAAGGAAACAGGTGTGTTTA